AGCTCTGCTTTACAAGCGTTGTTAAGCAGTAGCATTGGTAAAGTAGTTCATCTTATAACAACACGTTGGAATGTTTGGTTAGCTAGTTCGAGAGCATCATCAACGTCGCAAAGTCTGGTCACTCAAGAGTTTTTGTTACAGAAAACATGGGTTAACTGATGATGGACATCAAAATCGATTATTTCGGGTACAATATGTATGGAGTCAGGTATTATAAATAAACGAGAAATATAAGCATCAAGGGAGCTATCTTTGTGATAGATGAGAACTCCGGGTTCGATTGTTGTAATGATGATGTCAGAAATGTGGATAAGTCATGGATTGATTTTTTAACAGAAAGAACGAGATAAGCGATCCCAACAAGTTCACACTGTTTATTGATGATGTTTCGCTACATAATGAAAAATGGAAGCGGTTTTTTACGTGATAATCATTGTCTCCTGGTACAAATTTGATGCTGAATTGTTGAGTGTTCAGAGTAAAGGTGAGATAAAATCAGTTTTTGACTCGCTGAACGTCAAACGAGGCTGTGGTTTCCATGTGCTATGATATTTTTTCCATTAAGATTTTTGCAGAAGAAACATGACCATCTCTGTCGTTATATGATGACGTATTTTTACCTGTGTGTTTTATCTCGGTTCGTCCAAAAAGTTCCATTTTCTGCAAACTGAATTACAATTCTGCTACACAACTACAGTGTTTTTAATTGTTAGCTCTGTAACTAGGTGATGATTTTTTTTCAACCAATCAGGACTTTTTCAGGGGCTTTATTTTTACAAAAAACGTTTAATTGAATTTTAACAAAAGGAACACAAGGTTCCTGATAAAATTGAAAGCGAATCACAAGCAAAAAGGCTTTATTTTGAGACCATGATCGATCCATATGAACTTTCCTAGAACTACCTAAAACCGAGTGTAAAAGTAAACAGTTTTTGCCAAAGTTTCTTCAAGGCACTGAGTGACGTGATCGGAACAACCAGTTGAAAAAAAAAACTGTGGAAAATTATTTCAAAAAACGAAACCAATTCAAAAAATGAATAGTTTCATCTATTCAAAAATTTTTTATCACATATTCCAATCACTCCCACGTCGCTACTAACTTTTCAACAAAAGTAATTTTCACGAAAAGTTTTAAGCAAAAAATTACGAATTCGAACAAAAATAGTTCGAGATGAAAGCCAATTTTATTCTCAGGAGCCTTTCCGGTAGCAAATTGTTGGTAAACATCATCACATCTGGACCAGATCAAAATTGACAGGATCAGAATATAGTCGCTGCAAAAAGAAGGATATGTGAAAGAAATATGTTGCACTACAAAGGCAAAGCTGAGCTTTGCACCATTTCCGATATCCCACTAACTTTAGCATTGCGAGTTCGCAGACAAAAAGGAAATGAAAGCCAATAATAGAAAAACGTCAAAAAATTTCAATTTCATTGAATATTGCCGTCGTTGAATAAATAAATATTCAGAAACATTTATGAGGCGTAACTAAGCCGACAAAAATTAAGAGAACACCAGTTGAGCCGGAAATATAATTTTTACCTAGAAAAAAGTTTGAGCTTTAAAATTCTTAAACTCTAATATTTTTCTTGGCTCGACATTTTTTTTCTTTCACTGAACATTTTTATTTTGAAAAACATATCCTGGGAGGATTCAAGCGTAGAACTTTCGCCGTCCCAGGCGTAGTCGTGTCCTCAAGACCAAGTGGGCCGCAGATCCTGAGAAATTTAAATTTATTATGAATCAAGCTGACGAGTGATTCAAGTTGTTACGCAGGAAATATGTAACGAATCGCAGAGATCTACTAGGCCCTGAAAAAAATAAGTTAGTCCTTGAAACGTTCACCTATTTACCCACCACATCCCCCTACAAGCCATGGACGAGACGAAACTTCATCTTAAAAAGATGAGCTCATTTACAGGCCGAACTACTGAACACTATCATAGCATAGCGATACAAGACAAACATAGAATTCAATTATAAGCTGGCGGATAGAAAATGAGACGGATGCAACTCAGTCAAAAAATTATGTAAAAAATAAAGTTGAAACTACGTCTTCAGATATTTGTCTCGAAACATGTTCAACAAGATAAAACTGTCTCCCATGCTGCGCATCCTCAGGGAGTTAAATAAACATTCCTAGCCTTTTACCGAGCGGCAACTAAGAAGACAATACTTGGGTAGACGCCTGTTGATCCAAAACATAAAAAATTTCAAGCTACAGAGTTTTAAAACTCAAAGTTTTCATACCCCACTACTCGTGAAACTCAAACAAAGCCAACAATAAGTTGCTAAATGTCATCAACTCAAGGAAACAAAAAAACGGATTGACTTTCTTCGATCATTTTTCTATTTCCGAAGAAAAAACTTATCACAGAATAGCTTTTTGATTTTCAAGAGTCTTTCAAGATTGAGTTTTTTCACACAGAGGCGAAGCGGACAAAACAAATCAGAAAATTTACGTTTCCGAGAATCCTAATTTTTTGTTTGAGAAATGAGCGTAGCTTATGCAGAAGAAATTCACACAAACAGAAATTTCAATTGAACCCAAAAACCTTTTGTGTTCAATCGAAATTTCTGTCTGAGAAAATTTCTTCTGCATAGGCTACGCTCATTTTTTAAACAAAAAGTTATGATTCTCGGAAACGTAAATTGTTCTCGAGAAAAGCCAAAAAATTTTCAAAGATCGGCGAAGTTTTGACTTTTCCTAGGGCCATAAGTTTTTGGGTCGAAAAAATTTGGGCGTAGTCGCGTATGTAAAAAGGCTTCCCACAGCCCATTTTCCGGATTGAAACCAAAACCTCAGATGAAGGGAGGTATTTTTTGGTACAATTCATAAAGTTTAGAAAAAATACGCTGAAAAATTTTTTTAAAAAGTGACTTTTCCAGGGACATTAACTTATTGTGTAGATAAATTATGAGTCGCCGCTAATGCAGGAGAATTCCCACTATCTGTTATCTCCATTGAACCCGCAATCTTAGGTTTGGAAAATTATATTTCGAGAAAATTTAAGAAAGGTTCAAAAACGGTCAAACAAAATCAAAAATTTGACTATTCCGATGGCCATAACTTAATGTGTAAAAAAATGGACGTAGCCGCTAAAGGAGGTAATCTTTTAAAATACGTTCTATTCATTGAAACCAAAATCTCAGATTTGGTAGGTTAGTTTTTGAAAAAAGGAAAAAATATCAAAAATATCGGTTAACTATTCCCCACAAAGATGTCTTCGAAGGCTGTAGACAAAAAGTTAAGCAAAAAGAGACCAAATAGTATGCAGGCACACAAGAATTCAGGCGGTCTTTCTATGAGTACGCCTTTCTGGAAATTCGGTAGCAGGGTTTTAGATAAAATATTTTTTGCAAAACGATAAAATTTTCCAAAGCCTCTCAAAAAAATAAATTTAAAGAACCCAATCTTACACACTTTCATAATACCTGTTTTTATCAAACACAAATTCTAGGCAAACATGCCAAGCAAGACATTTGAAATTCAAATTAGCAATTGAACAAAACTTACGAAGAATTCTGGAAAATTATGGTGTAAAAAATTATTTGAAAAATTAAACTGACAAATGTTGAAAAATTACAGCTACAAAGACTTCAGATTTTATAAACAGCCCATAAAAAATGGAAAATTTTAACTGAGCAGCAACAAAGGCGACAAACTTTGGGTCAAAACCTGCTGAACCGAAAATAAAACTGTTATCACAAAAAATTAACTAAATTTAAAAGTTTGTACGACCCATTCAAACTGAAACACATAATCCCAAATGGATATATTTTGCCCTCCAAAATACGTCAAAATGTTGACAAAGTCGATATAACATAAAGTGAAACTTTTTGAGTATTTAAAAAAAAAATGAAAATACTCGAAATCAGACATGGTAAATTTACAAGTTTGTAAAGTTTCAGTTAAAGTAAAAATTAATTAGATTGAAACAAAACCAATGCTTTGAAAGTTAACCAATAAAAAACCTACCAGTTAAAAAAATGGCGTTTAAAAAACGGAAATTGAACCGAACAAAACTAGGACGAAAACCAGTAACCCCAAAACAAAGTTGGATCCCAGTGGACAAAGTTATTTTTACTGGAAAAAAAACTAGTACCCGATTGCAATACCCTTGCTTATCGGAAGGATAATCACCACAATTTAAAAAATTTCAAAATATTGTTTACACTGGCGGAGTCTATAACCCACACTTTTATATTCAGGTTTAATAGCGCTTGTAAATCACAACCGTCATTATAGTAATAGGCAAATTCCTTATAGTGGCAACTAAGCCGACAAAAAAACAGAAACACAGACGAAAGCTCGACAAAAGTTTCTTGAAACGCTGAAAATTTCCAGCGTACAAAAACTATTCCTGGCCGAATTCGAACCATGGACATTTGTCTTGGTAGGCATGAGCATTATTTCTACGCAGCATGTCAGAATTAACATGTTTTTTTACCTTAATTTTTTTATGAATATTTCCCGAGCAGGACATTCCAGGCAACTTGCACAGCAAACGACGGCACTCATTTTTGTATACATTATTAGCAAAACATTTGTGTTTTAGACCACCTCTAAGTAGTAGCTTCGCAAATGTTTTCACGCACGAGGGAATTAATTCACTATCAGAGAGACGCCAGGCCCGAGGATAGTGAACAATTTTCCCGAGTTCGTGAAAAAAGTAGCGAAAATGCTTTAGTCAACGAAAAATTCATGTATTCAACCTTGGTTTTCACATGTTAAAACAGTTTTTTTCTCACTTTGAAACCTGTTTTCAAACTATTTCTACAGCTCATTGGCGAGCGTCCATACAAAGATTTTTTTCATGCCGATTGAACGCACGCTGCAAATTAACTAGTTTTGTTCATACACTGGATTTCACGTACTGATCTTTTCATGAACTGCGTATAAACGAACGCAAGCTGACTAAAAACGGTTGCATTTTACTCTTCTAATTTCGCTTAAACTGTTATAAAACAAATAAAATATTTGAATTATCTAGTCTAAAACTAAGCTTACAAAATCTAACAACGCGTCGTTACGAAGTGAATCATAAGTGGGTCTCTTCTTTTATATCCACCAAAACTAAAATATCAAATATTTCGTCACAGAAAACGGTATAACAAAATGATCGGCTCAAAACTATTATCACTTTTAACCTAGGACGAATTCACAGGGATATAACAGAAGAAACCCGGAATGGTTAGTAATCAAGTCTTTTGATACTCCTGGTATTATCAGCTCGTTTAAAATCAGTCACTTTTCTTTCGTTTCACTTGCATGTCTGTCAATCGCTCTGAACTGCCAAGGCCAGTTGACATTGTACAGAAACTGTCTCAGGTCAAATCTGTTATCGTCGGGGCTATAATTCTCCATGTGTACAGACGGGGTCAACACTGTCTGTTTGTGTCTGTTTATTGAATACATTCTGAAGAAGTATTTCACTTTTCTTGCTACCTCCAGCGGCGATAAATGGGTCCAAACATGTACAAGTTTCAAGTACATCGAATACGGCCCACATTTGTTGGATTTTCTCAGCCTGCCATAGATGGATAGTTCGTCATACGTCATTCCCATGTCATCTTCGTCAGTTTGCTGAATTGCTCCATCCGTATTCAGAGGTTCCAACTCTGCTGTCGGGGGCGCTTTATAAATCTCTTTCAGAATCGGAATGTCTAACTGATCTGAAGTGTAAAGAATGAATTTCCTCAAGTCAGTCTTCGAAATCCCGCCAATCGGATTTATGTCAGCCGAGGAGCAATCGTACTTCGTCAGGTATCCACGAAGAGCCTCGTCCACATTACCCGATCCAAGAACTAGCAGCGATCCTTCTTTTCCCGTTTTAACGTACACGCTCAGCTGCGCAAAAAGATAGGCAAAAACCATTCTTAGTCTCGCCTGTATATTCTGCAACGCTAGGTTTTCCGAATTCGACCCCTCGTGTGCTTTGAACTTTGGCACGAAACCAGTGGCTGTTTGAAAGATCGATACAACTGCATTAACAGCTAAGTCAATGACTATGTTTCTATGGGTACTCCCGACCCCTTGAGCCAAACTTGACGCGCTGTTGCGAGTGAAATCTGAAGAATTCTCAGTTGCCATGTAGCAGGTGTAGAGAAGACGAGAAGCCAAATCACGCCTGTCAACGGGCGCGTAATTATCCTCACCTACAACTTTCCGAACATCGGATAAAACTTGTTCATTGCCATCCGATATTTCTTTGACAAGATGATGGCACATGAAAGCAACAAGACAAGCAACGGAGGCACTGTCAATTCCACCGGACAGAGGGAGAAAGAATCCTGCTAACGAAGATCGTCGTAGATAGTCCCACAGCCACTTAGCCGGTGCATGACTGATTTCTTCTTCTGGAATGAGGTCCTAGACAAACATAATTCAGCGAGTTATTCCTCTAGTTTCTTACATCTCAGAATCATATACCGAAATCAGTTAGTCGAAATAATGTTGTACTTAATTTGATAATTGGTTTTTGCTACTTCCAATGTAGACAGTAAGAATGATTCGATCACGGCAAAGCGAACCGCTCCAAACTTTATAAAATTAATCTGATATGAAATCGCTTGAAAATTTGAAATGCTATGATTTGACGTCGTGTATCAATTGAGCCAAAAAAAGTAATGCTTCACTACCTGTAGCACAATTGGCAAGGAGAGCTTCGGATTTTGAGATGAAGGTTTCAACGAAAAATGCGATAAGTCCACAATTTTTATGGTTGTATGAGTCTGATGCAAAGAAGCACCATTCATCGAGCTCATAACCGTCCGTCGAGAGGCTCTGATATCATTTAAATCAATGGCACAAGTAAGACACTGAACGTCTTTCAGTGAAAACAACTCACTGCGCTCAACTATTTCTCCATTCAAAACAAAGAATGTTTCCCCTTCAAAATACAATCGGTCTCCGTCGCAGCCGTGCGTGTTGCAGAACCCATAAAGTCCTCCAAATCGAAGAGAAGCACTTGAAGTCAGAAGCCTCCGGTCCCAATACTTTTGCAGGCTGAAATGAGAAGCAGATGAATTGAAAATTAACTCTGCTCCTTGGAGAAACAAGTCTATGTGGGGATTTTTTAGCGTCCACATGTCTTCGCAAGTCTCCACTCCAAAAACAGTTTCCGCTGTTTGAAAAACCATCATGCCAATAGGACATGTCTTTTGCCCATGCACATTCGAAATACAACTAGGAAGCCTCAGTTCGTCTACTTCCAAGCTTTTCCAAGAGACAAAGTAGCGCATTTCCCGGTAATTCCCACCGTCATTAGCAAGATTTTTCTTGGGAGCAATTCCAAGTATTTTTCCATTTAAAATTACAATTCGACAGTTGTATAAACAACTCTTATGCAGAACGGGCATACCTGTATCAATAACTATGTCATCAAGGCTTCTATCGGCAATTATCTTTGCAAGAGCTTCCCAGGAATGTAAAATTGTGTCTTCTTCAAAGTAATGATCTGCACATCCATATCCACAAATCTCGAGTTCTGGTCCAAATCGATATCTTGCACCATCTCTTTTAGCCTTTTCGACACTACCAATGATTCGCTTCAAATTACTGTCAAAGTCCATCGCCCATTGATTCAAAGAAGTTGCAGCAACACATATCAATGAGGCCATCTTTTAAAGAAAGTCTGAAATCAGAATCGTTCGGAAATGCTTTGTTAACGAAACTAGGTGAGGTGCATAGAAGTTTCGACAGTCAGTTCTTTATTAGCCTTGAGGCGAAGCGGAGCTTCGCAACACTTGCAATACAAAATTATCACATTACAAGAAAGTGAGTGAATAGAAAAAGAATACTGACGTCGGATTTTTTTTTGAAAATGTTATATGAAATGATTTCAAAAATTGGTCTTAAACCATACCTTGAGGGTTTTCTACTGGTAATATTTGCTTGTACAGATATTATTCGCTTGCAGAGGAGAGAGCCTGCACGGTATTTTTCGATAATTAAAAAAAAATCATCAAGTTTCAAAAAATGACATTTCACAAGGCGATTACTTTTTCTTAAGATAGGGGCAATCAACTAATGCAGGGAGGAATAGACCAAACCTATCGTTTCGGTAAAGATCATTATATCCAATTTGGCAGTGTAGTTTTTGAGAAAAGTCAAAACGTTTCCACAAAAAAAAAACGATGAAAAACTCAAATAAAATTTGACTTTTCCGAAAAGTATAACAGTTTTTCTCCAAAAATTAGAGCCAGCTTCCTACAACCTATTTTTCAATTGATTATTCAAAGCCAGATTTAGGAGGGCAGTTTTTGCACACCTGCCAGAGAGTAGCTGATCTTTCCATTGAAAATCCCAAAGCGTCCTAAAATAAAAAATTAGAAAAAATAAATTCATTACTTTACATTTAATGAATGAAGTCAACATACACTTTAGGCGAAAAGGTAATCTGCATTATTATTGTAATTTTTTTTTACAACACTTCATTTGAAAATTGTGCCAGTCAGTCATATTTGGAAGTTTGACCTTGAGAAGAGCAGAAAACACTTGATTTTGGAGTGAAATTTAATTTTTCAAAATTTCGAATGGAACATGTCATGCACGATTTTCTCGCGATAACTGAAAATCAGAAAAAGAAATCAGAACAATTTTAGAACAATTGCGGGGAAGTTGTCAAATAAAAACGAGTGGGAAATTGCTATTCGCAATTTCCATCATAGTGAACAAGAGTAGAGCTGTCCTATCTGAAATAGAAGACAGAGTATTCCCGAGAGAGTAATTATTCGAACTAGACCAGAGTGAACCTTCGACGGAAAGGTGGACAGCTTGAGTGTCCCAATGGTCCACATAAAACTTCGTTCTTGAGTTCAAACTTACCTTTGTCATTCAAACTGATAAACATTGAACTTATCTAGTTACCATAGTTAATTCTAGAGTTGCTCACCCATTTAATTACTTCCTGTGCTTGAGCGCATCAACATGTGAGTCCTTAATTTAAATTTCTAGAGTGTGTTTTATGATTGTTATGTTGAGGTAAGGCGAGTTTTAGTTTGATCCATCTGAAATGGATCAAAGTTCCACTGTCTAGTAAAAAAGCAACTTAACGGATTGTTCCAACCCGGTTTTTAACGGCGTTCATGTATTTTGGGTATTTTGAGACCTAAGTATGGGGACGTTCTTAATTCTAGAGTGGGGGGATATTTTGGTAGTAGCCTTAAGCAGTAGCGGGTCGTAGTCTCATGTCACAAGCGAACCGAATTGGCTCCGACTGATTTGAGGCGGAAAAACACAAGAGATAGTGTCCCTGACTCCTGAGCCAATAGTTATAGGGCCTATTTTTCTTAAGCCTCATGTGTGACTGTAGTAGACGAATGTTACATAGTGTTTTTATGGCGCTCCTGGGTGTTTACGACATCAAGACTACGGAGTCGAACCCACTTGAGACAGCTTCGGGCTGAATGCCCATTCTAGAGTACCGGCGGTACGGTTCGACAGGAACGTGCAAACCTTCCGGTTGTACCGTGATAGCTTTTTAAGAAAACTCGAGAAAATTTCCTGGTACGCTCTCCGAACGAGGCTTAGCTAACCGAGTAAAGGGGGGCAACTAGGGGGACAAAAACACGAGCAAAAAGACAAAAAGCAAAACAAAAACCAAAAAAAGAATAGAAAAAGGAACAAAAACCATAAAACGAAAAAAGACAGTGACTTTGACACCAGATTAGTTGGATCAAACCTTTATATTAATTAAATAGTATACCCATACTGTTTTACAAGTTCGATCGTTTCGATCAACCTAGCAATTTAAACCAGTAAACTGAATAAAGTGCCCGAAGTGGGGCGTTGTCAAGGGTTTTCAGATAGCTTGGAACTTAGCTGGACCAATAGGAGACTTGACTGGAAGAGGTGACCAGCCGAGTGGGAAAGTGGTTCAGGGACACTTGAGCTGGACCAATAGGAGACTTGACTGGAAGAGGTGACCAGCCGAGTGGGAAAGTGGTTCAGGGACACTTGAGCTGAACCAATAGGAGACTTGACTGGAAGAGGTGACCAGCCGAGTGGGAAAGTGGTTCAGGGACACTTGGCTGAACCAATAGGAGACTGGACTGGAACAGGTGACCAGTCGAGTGGGAAAGCAGCCAAGAAGGATTTGGCAATTCTCGAGTTCTCAAGTTGGGCAGAACGGGTATCGTTAGAATCCACATTACATTATAGGAGATAAGTGTAAAATTGGATAAGCGAAATCCCCCAGTTTTGAGGAACGTTTTTACTTGAGCAGGCCTGGAAACAGGTCTACGGTTTTCTCTTGAGAGGTTTAGCACCCGGCGCTTAAAGTAATTTTTAGGCTTAAGAAGGGGGGCTAGAAAGGGGGGAGGTCAGAAGGGGGACTGGTTAGGCTAGAGGTTGGCGGTTGTAAATTGCAAAAAGGGGGAAATTAGAGTAACTAATTAGTCGACATCGTTGACTTAGTTACATTAGAAATTAACACGCGTTGGTAATATTAGGTGGAGATCCAAAATCCAACTCGAGTTAAGGCTGGTACGCTGGTTGGTTTGGTAGGGGGGACCGGATATAGACAGCTTTTGTGATACCCCATAAGATCACTAGTGGGGGGAGGAAAACGCGTGGCAATTAGGTACCAGACATTTTTTTTAGACGAAAGGTAGACATTGGTCACCTTTAAATTTTAGGTGGGCTCATTTTTCTGTTTTTATTATTTTTCTTACTTAAAATTTTTGTTGCATTTTATTGAGGATTTGTGTTTGGTTTTATACGAACAGGTGATCACAAGATACCTGCGCACCTACATTGAAATAGAAACAACCAAAAAGAAGAGGGGGGTCAGCATTTGGCTTTTAAGAGAGGGTTTTTGGGAAAATTTTACTAGAGCTTGAGTGGTGGTACAAGGTACGGTGGTTCAAGAAGACCCTACAACGAGGAAGACACTCCGTGACGAGTATTGGGACAAGACCGAAGAAGTCTTGGGACAGAGCAGTCTTGGGATAGTGGTCTTGGGACAGGGTCTTGGGACAGTGGTCTTGGGACAGTGGTCTTGGGACAGGGTCTTGGGACAGGGTCTTGGGACAGTGGTCTTGGGACAGGGTCTTGGGAAGTGGTCTTGGGACAGTGGTCTTGGGACAGGGTCTTGGGACAGGGTCTTGGGACAGTGGTCTTGGGACAGGGTCTTGGGACAGGGGTCTTGGGACAGTGGTCTTGGGACAGGGTCTTGGGACAGTGGTCTTGGGACAGTCTTGGGACAGTGGTCTTGGGACACTAGTCTTGGGACACTAGTCTTGGGACACCAGCCTTGGGACACTGGTCTTGGGACACTACCCTTGGGACACTAGTCTTGGGACACTAGTCTTGGGACACCAGCCTTGGGACACTGGTCTTGGGACACTACCCTTGGGACACTAGTCTTGGGACAGTAGTCTTGGGACACTAGCCTTGGGACACTAGTCTTGGGACAGTAGTCTTGGGACACTGGTCTTGAGACACTACCCTTGGGACAGTAGTCTTGGGACACTAGCCCTGGGACACTAGCCTTGGGACAGTAGTCTTGGGACACTAGCCTTGGGACACTGGTCTTGGGACAGTAGTCTTGGGACACTAGTCTTGGGACAGTAGTCTTGGAACAGTGGTCTTGGTACAAGGGTCTTAGGACACTAACGGAGAGTACTGTGATAGTGACGAATAGTCTTGGGACGGTATAGAAATTGAAGTCAAATTACAACAAGTGCGTTTTAAGACAGAATAAGACAAATCGAAATAGGTAGGGTTAAGACCAAATTAAGGAAAATTTTTCGGAGGTTTTAGAAAGAGAATTGGATAAGGTTTTTAACACGTTGTACAGAATTTGTTACCACAAAAAATATTTTTTTTACCCTTAGAATAGAATCGTGTATATAATAAAATTGTAAATAGAAGCAGTTGTAAATAGAAATAATGAGGCGGAGTAGGGTACCGGTGCTCGAAAAAAGGTCAAGTGGATCAAACACGAAATATAATTCATCGCTGCGCGGAACGACATCAACGGGCCCAAAGATAACGAAGACGAACTTTTCAGTTAACATGGTCAGCACAAGGAGTACAGCGGAGAACAGGGCGAAAGAGGGCACGGAAGGGGAGCGAGTAGAACCCACCATCGAGATTGATCTAGAGACACCCGATCAAAGTGTGGATGAAACAAGGAAGATGGCGACAGAGTCAACTCCAATGCCCAATGCAGAGGAACCGAACCAGAAACCCATAAAGTTCTCACCGATAGATGACGCGGAAGATGCAATAGGCAACACCGAAGAAACGGTGAAAGAAGACTCTCACGTAAAGAGGACATCTTTTACGGAAAAATTGGGAATAATGTTCGGAATAAAAACAAAAGAAAACGTGACTGAAGAACCAAAAGCAGAAAGAGCACGAACGTTTGGGACAGTGAGCACGAAGACCTCAGAAGCCAATCCAAGAGAGGAACAAGCTAAAGCAGAGGCTACGGCCGAAGAGAGACCGACAGCTGACCATGAAGAGACTAACATTGAGCTGGGTGACTTGTTGGCGAAATTAAATCAGATTGACAAAAGACTTAAGCACAGTGAAGAAGACAGAGAGGTGATAAAAAAGGAGATAAGATACAACAAGCACGAGTATCTAGACAGTTATTTTAACCTAGCTAAGGCAACAGATGA